GGGAGAAAAGAAAACAAACGTATTAAAGGAGGTGGGACGGTTAAGGGCTGCGGGTTAGCAGCGAAGAGGAGAAATGTGCAGTGACTGCGATTTAGGCTGAGGAGTTAAGATAATCGCTAATACCCATCTGCCCATCATCCACCTACCCTTTACTATCTCAATGCACCGATCCATATGTGCACTTTTCAATCGTCTATTCACATAGCCATTTATCCATTTGCAAGACCATGTTGTAGGCATCAAATTACTGCATTCATCAATTTTTTCATTCATTCATACGTTTATTCCATCGCATTCATCTTTTTGCTCCTCCATCTATCCCATTCTCTATCCAATTTGCCGGCTGACTAGCCCGTCTACTAGCTAACCGTACCACAGACTGATTGACTGACAATCGACCGCCACAACCCTTACGCCATGGACCAGAAACACCCTGCTTCTATGCAAAGCCTTGAACTAGGTGCTACCAACTATCCAAAACTAAAAGAACACATGCAGCGCATGTGATGCCTTAATTGTTTTCCAGGTGAAAGTTTGAAAAAGGTGCTAACGTCCCCTCCTGGAATCGTGCTAAGTCAACATTTATTCGTCGATAATAGAGAGCACACGAAGCGAAGTTTGAAAATTTCCCATTGTAGCATTTTGCATGAGTACTGCAACCAAATTTTTGCAGTCAAGCACAATAAAAAACGATCAGATTTTGCTCTCAATTGAGGCCGGAAAAGTAACCTACGCATCAACTTGGTGTTGCTGTAGCAATCACATACCTTATGCTGTTCGAGAAATAACCTAATCATCAGCGCCGCACAGAACAGTGTTGAAATTGGCTAACTGGTCAGTTACAAACCACCTTTCTGGGTAGGATGAACTGGACATTTGTGTATAAATTTAATGAGCTTCATGAATTTCATGATCTAAAAAATGAACGTCGACTATATATCATTAAAAGGTCGTAACTTTAATTTCCTATCTCCATTTCTCAGAAACGGGTGTCACGTGTGTAGTACGGCTACTAAACTACCATATAGCGAATGAACGCGCCAAGTTGCCGCACCGAAAGAAAAGCTAATTCAAAATCAGAAAGAAGCAGTGTAGGTTCACTATTGACTGAGGAGACCTGTGCATTTATTTCCCTTCATCAATGATTGAGTTGGCTAAAACCTAATAAGAACAATAAAACACCTGGATAGTTGTCGCCGAAAACCTGGTATCGATTGTGTTAAGAAATAATTGACCGGACAAAGCCAAATCACGCAAATTTTGAATTCTCTCAACAAATAAGGAAGCAAAAAAGTTTGTTGATAAACGAGCTTTGGTTTATTAACGCGCTGATAAAGTAAAAAATTCCTGATCAAGTTCAAGGATTTCCAAATTGCCTTTCCTCAAAACAGGCAAGCCTGAGGCGAGAAGGATTTGATATGGGGGCTGACCAAGATGGGCCTTTACAATCTAAACGAATTGCGTGATTAAGCAAATCCGTGGCTTAACTGAACCAAACTACTTGAGAGTGTGGGAATTTAGCGCAAATACAAATATCACCGTGGTGTGGATGTTTAAATGGCAGGAAAACATATTCTGATGGAAAAAGAAGTAATGTGGTGATGGAAATCACTGTAAGGTGAGGGAAACTCACCAAGATCATCCACAACGATATCCATCGCCATTGCAAATTCTGCTGCAACAACAGTAGCAAAGGCGGCTGGGACTCCAGATGGACCGACATCCATACGTCTCCCTTCGTATATCATGTATCAAACTCAAAATGTGAAAAAAAAAA